GCCCCCCAGTTCTCTGCCTCTCCCCAGGACCAGGCTGGCGGCTCACAGGAGCCTGCCCGGGGCCACAAGAGGCGGGTGCCCGCCTGGTCTAGTGCAGAGATCGTGGACCTCATCGAGGTTTGGGGGGAGGCCTCCAACAACCACAATCTCCGCACTAGGCACAGGAAAGTGGCCGACTAAGGCAGGATACCTGCCAGCCTGGCCACCAAAGGCCACATGCGAACCCAGGAGCAGGTTTACATGAAAATCAAGTTGGTCCAGTGAGACCCTCGACCCTGAGCCCTGAGCTTAGAACATAAGAACATAAGAACGGCCGTACTGGGTCAGACCAAAGGTCCATCTAGCCCAGTAGCCTGTCTGCTGACAGCGGCCAGCACCAGGTACCCCGGAGGGGATGGACCGAAGACAATGACCAAGCGATTTGTCCCGTGCCGTCCATCTCCAGCCTTCCACAAACAGAAGCCAGGGACACCGTTCCTACCCCCTGGCTAATAGCACTCCATGGACCCAACTCGAATTAAATTAGTTCGAATTAGAGCTGTAGTGTAGACATACCCTAACATGGTGGAGGGAACAAAAAATTTAGCGTTGTAAGGGCTTTTGGAATGTGGGTGGAAGGGATTAAAAAGGTAGAAAGGCATAGTAAAAATGAGTAGCACCTTGAAGCAATGCAAGATATTAAAGAACCAGACCACTCATTACACAGGAAAACAGTTTGATAAAGAGGATTAGAGAAGGATGGATGTTCTTAATTACTTCTTGTGGCTTCCTGAATCAAGTCAGACCCACACTAGAAATCTGCTTTTTCGTTTTAGCAAGGCAGACAAAACCAAAAAGGAGAAACAACTGCCTCCCGCATCGGGAATGGCTGACAAACACATAGGCTTTGCCTATACTTGTATGTTTAAACCCACAGCCGCCTTAGTGCTTCAATGCACACAATGACAGTGTGGTCATAGCACCAGGCAGGGGTCAGGTCACTGGCACTCACCAGGGTAGCAGCAGCTGTGGAAAGCGGAAAGCTCTGCCATGTCCCGGTGGAGGAAGCAAAGTGCCCCAACCCTAGCCCCAGCCTGCATCGCTTTGGGGGCCAAGCTGGCTCTGGATCTCTCTGCTTCCTGCCACAACGCTGAAGCAGAGTGACCCAGCTGGGAGATTGCAGCGGAGCAGAGCAGGCTGCTGGGTTACTCCAGGTCCTGACACTGCAGTGAGTGGGGGGAACCCCTGCTTCTCCCCACATCAGGACCCCCCAGTAATCCCTCACCTCTCTCAGGGAGGGGGACTTCAGGGAAGGCATGAAATGGGAGCAGGAGAGGGCGGAGCAGGGGCAGGAAGAAGCAGTGTGGGGCTAGAGTGAGGGGTGGGGCTTTGAGGGACGGGAAGGAGCAGGGGCATTAAGAAGCAGTGTGGGGATGGAGTGAGAGGTGGGGTTTGGGGGCCGGGAGGGGAGAGCAGGGGCAGGAAGAGGCAGAGCAGGGGATGAGCTTGGGGGAGGGTTGCCCGGGGGCAGGCCTCCTCAGCATTGTAGGTAATTACCTCCATGAGGGGAATAGCTAACAGCACTGGGAGCCTGTTTACACTGCCACTTCACATCGCTGTAACTGGCTGTGCTTGGGGAGGGGGTGTTTTTTCACACCCCTAAGTGAGAACGTGACAGGGCAATAAAGTAGCAGGGTGGACAAGCCCCTAAGACATGCCACTACTAGTCATTCAGTACGTTCTGTTCCTCGGGAAAGGCAAAGAAAGGGATTCAGTCCTTCCTTGATAAAGATCATTATAGGTTGGTTGCTTGGAATCAATAAATCCCTCACTACCTTTGTAGGGGGGAGGTTGGTTGGAGGATTTTAAATTCCCTTAAGAAAGCTGGCACTTACTTTGAGTAACGGAAGTAAAGGAGAGGAAGTAACGGTGGCTGCTGAGAATCAACCATGATTTTCACTTGAGAATGCTGGTCGATAGGGAGCAATCCAATGGAAGGACAACTCCTGAAAAGTCGAATACCTACATGTTCTGAAGCCCGTCGGATGAACTGCAGCGACTTTAACTCCCCATTGGGCGAGCTCCTGCCTCATGACTCCAGAAAACATGGAGAGGGCTGCTTTCGATGAGCCATACGCAGCAAACCGTGCCAACGGAATGCATCCTAGGAGCAACATAAACATGACCACGTTTGAATCCAGTGCTTTCTGGGCTACGTTAGCTCCATAATGAAAAAGAATGATCCAAAATGACACCGCTCTCACTGAGGGTCCAGGCAAGATGTCCAGGGGCTCATTTGTTTCTGGCCCCCCAAAAATCCTAAAATGGCAGTCGCGCCAAGCAACTGCAGCCACAGTCACACCTGGCCACCTGTCACCTTTCAACATTGGACTGCATTTTGGAATGCAAGGCCGAGAGAATCACAATGGCTGCTGTGTTCAGAAAGGGAAATCAGGCAGGCAACATTGTAGAGTGTTAATAATTAAGGGGCAGGGTTTTATTCTGCTGTTTTTTTAAAAGGGTGAATAAAGGCAGTGGCTTTGAAGTCACTGTCATGCAGAACAGCCACGAATGACACAGTCTCAGTTCCAGCTTTAGGCCATGTCGATGCTACAGAATTGTGTCGACTTAATTTATGTCGGCGTTCAGTTACCACAGTTATTAAATCACAGATGTGTCAAGTAGGGTTGCTAGATGGTTTCAACAAAATTTCTACCCAATTTCTTACTGCAGTGGCCAAAGACATGTGTTAACTGCAAATAAAAGCAGAGAGTCTTTGTTTTAAAGACAGTCTAGTCAACTCCTGTCTTCTGTGAACTGACATTACCTCCTTCTTTCTTGAATCAAAGCATTCCTTTCCTTCAAGGTCAGAGTTAACGCTAGTGGGTTGCTAGATGGTTTCAACAAAATTTCTACCCAATTTCTTACTGCAGTGGCCAAAGACATGTGTTAACTGCAAATAAAAGCAGAGAGTCTTTGTTTTAAAGACAGTCTAGTCAACTCCTGTCTTCTGTGAACTGACATTACCTCCTTCTTTCTTGAATCAAAGCATTCCTTTCCTTCAAGGTCAGAGTTAACGCTAGTTGTGTTCTGGAAGGCTATGTCTACACTGTTTTTTTATGGAAGAGACAATGCAAATGAAGTGCTTATTAGCATTTTCTTGCGCTTCATTTGCATAGTCTCTTCCAATCATTTTTGCGCAAAAACAAGCAGTGTGGACATGTCCGTTGTGTGCAAAAAAAGCTCATACAGATTTTCTCTCCTTTATCAATGAGAGAGGTAGTGGTTCCCCCTCCTTCCAACAGTAACAATCACTTGATAATAAACAAGCCAATACTGCAATCCTTTAACTTGTCTTCATCAAACCAGACTCTTCTGGAAGCTTGGGATCCTGCATCTAAGAGTCCTAACACCTCTACTGACTGCCAGCTCCTATTGTTGCTCCTGTTTCCAGGAGAACATACATTTAGGTGATCACCCACTTTAGAACAGTTGGTTTTAAAATGCTCAATGAACTGTTCCCTTCACTTTTCCTTCACTTCCCTCAAAATTCTAAGGTTTCATATGTAAGAAAACACGACCTGAAAACAAACCTACCTTCACGCAGAAATATTGACTTTTTTCATTAGTTTGCTGAGGGAGTATATACATCTTAGGTAACTAAGTTAGGATGCACAAGAGGATGAAATCATAGACTCATAGAATATTAGAAATGGAAGGGCCCTCAAGAGCAGGATTCCCTCGAAGCTGCGGGGCAGCACAATATCACGGGTGATTAATCAGCCCCACCCAGTCGGAGGCTCAGGGCTCAGTACAAGGAGCTGACTGACTAAACTGTGCTACCACACAGTTTAGAGGGAACGTGGCTCGAGAGGTCATCACATCCAGTCCCCTGCCCTCACAGCAGGACGAAGCACCAACTTAGTGCTCAGATGTCTATCTAACCCACTCTTAAATATCTCCAGTGGAGATTCCACGATCTCCGAAGGCAATTTATTCCAGTATTTAACCACCTTGACAATTATGAAGTTTTTCCTTGTGTCCAACCTAAACCTCCCTTGCTGCAATGTAAGCCCATTGCTTCTTGTTCTATCATCAGAAGTCAAGGAGAACAATTTTTCTCCCTCCTGGCAAAATTCTCATTGACTTAATAGAGCCAGGCTGTCACCCAGAATATGGGCAGCTGAGTTTGCTCAGACTGGAGTCCATGCGTATTTGCCATTTACTTCAGGGGGAGCCAGCCAGTCGAAATACAGATCCTTTGTCATGTCATGTCTCCAAATTTATGCCAGCGCATTTAAAATTTGCATAAACCAACAGTAATTGCTCAAATTAGTGAAGGGGATGATAGCCCTGATGTGGATTTCCAAGTCTATATTCACAAATGTGGAAAAGGTCAGAGGAGGGGGATAAAAATAGATCCCTCAAAGGGAACTGAAATCTTTCTGATTTAAAAAAAAATATTTCAGGCCTTAAATTGTTAACAGACTATTCTGCATGAGCAGACTTCAACACAGTTATAGACAGAAACCCTCTGAATAGACACTTACCAGTTACGTGGCATTTGGGGACCATCGCAATCCTGCAGTCCAATTGCTCGTCCTTAGGACTACAGCAGGCCTCTCAGAGTTCTCCATCACGTAAATACACCCTCTCTCAGAATTCTGTCTGTGTGGACACTCAGGCTATGTCTAGACTACAAACTTGTATCGGAAAAAGGTACGCAAATTGCACTCCACAATTTGCCTACCTTTTTCTGATACTTTTAAATCTCGGCTTGACAAAGCCCTGGCTGGGTTGATTTAGTTGATATGGGTCCTGCCTTGGGCAGGGGGCTGGACTTGACGCCCTCCTGAGTTCTCTTCCAGCTCTATAGTTCTATGATTCTATAAGAGGCTTTTCCAAAATTTGTCCTATCTACACTGGGCCAAATTTTGGAAAAACCTTCTCTTTCAGAAGAGCCCTTCTTCCTCATAGAATGAGGAAGATAGGGTTCCTGAAAGAGCGCATCTGCTCTGCTGCAAAAAAAGCAGAAGAGAAGATGTGTTCCCTGGACACAGCAGAGTTTTTCTGGGATACCTCTGGGATCCCACAAAAACTCCGCAGTCTAGACATACCCTCAGAGTCTAACTGTTCAGTGGCATGCAAGTGAAAGCCAACAGATACAAAAACTCTCCATAGGACATGCTTACTCCTTATTTAATATAGATCTAGACAAAATCATCAATACCCCAATACACGTTTCCCTGCCTCAGTTTCCTGATCACTCTGGTTCTTAGCGTTCACACTTCTACAGTTCGTTGGGCCAAGTCCTCTCAGATGCCCAGGATCTTTCCTCTACATAATCATGGCACTGCTTTCCATTTCTAGGTCAGCTAGCTTTCTCTGAGCATGCGGGTCCCATAGTTAGACAGGAAAACACCCATTATGAAAATTTGTCCCTCCCTTCTGCTCAAAACTTCTGGGGTGCTTTGCTCTGTGTGTCCCTCAAGTTTCTATGTGCCGTGGGGTGCTAGAACAATTTTAGGGGTGCTGTGAGTCATTGATCCAAATTGTAAACCCTCTATATAATGGAAAAGCAATTCAAGCCAGGGGTTGCTGCCATACCCCCCATGCTCCTGGTTCCAGACCTATTTTTGTATCCCTGCCAACACTTGGTTGTTCTCCTGCTGGGGATTTTCTACCTATCACATCCAGATCGAGGCATGCTAGATTAATATATTAGTTTCTATGGAATAAGAATTAATTCCTCTAGAACTCCACAGTTTTTATCCCTATAAAACTATTCTTCTTCAAGGGCTGGTTATGGGAGGCAGTCACAGGACAAGTCATTGAGGCTATAGATAATCAAATAATAAGCAACTATGGACTTCGTAGAATTATCAGAGATAAACTGGCCCACACCTTGCTCAGTATTTACTTCAGGTACATTATAAATCATTATTGGTACAGCATGCTCCACTTGGAACATTAGTTTAACTCACCTGCCATACTGGAGATATTAATGAGCCTTCCTTTGGATTTCCGAAGTAATGGTAGGAACATTTTGGTGACCTCTACAGGCCCAAAGAAATTCACCTCCATACACTGCTTGTACATGCTCATGGGTAGTAGCTCACCATCTCCAGGAAACCCCAGGACTCCTGCGTTGTTAACCACACCCCATAAACCTGAAGAAGAGAACATAAGAACAGCCATACTGGGTCAGGCCCATCCTGACCAATATCCTGTCTTCCAACAGTGGCCAATGCCAAATGCCCCAGAGAGAGTGAACAGAACAGGGAATCATCAAGTGATCCCTCTGCTGTCACCCATTCCCAGCCTCTGATAAACAGAGGCTAGAGACACCATTCGTACCCATCCTGGCTAATAAGTATTGATGGATCTAACCTCCATGAATTTATCTATTAAAGGGAAATGTACGTTACTGTTCTGGAGTCCCAGCCAAAGAAGGTAAGCAAATATAGTGTCTCTAAAAAGAAGAATGCTTGTTAAAATGCCAGCTTCTAGTCTGGATGGCCCAACCCAGAACAAAGTTAGGAAGCTGGGCAATTTTAGATACACATTGCTTTCCTCCTGTTGACTCACTTGCTTCTGTTAGCTGGCACACTGCTGCCATTTGCCAAGGATCTTGTTTTTGGAGTGCTCTATAAAGCAAAAGTTTCATCCAGATAGCACCATAAATATCCTGACTGGTCATAGGCACAGAAAGGGGAAATGCAGAACACAAATTCCCACACCCAGAAGGACACATTTGCAAACAAACATTGCTGCATTGGAAGCTCCTTGCAAGCAGGTATGTAAAATGTCAGCCATACCTGTGTTCTGCACCATCTCTGAAATTTGTAGATAGGCTTCTTTAATTTGTTCTGAGCTAGTTATATCCATCTGCAGGACACAAAGTCTCTGGGAACAGCTCCTTTTTAATTTTTCAGCTCCAGGTCCGTTTTTATTCAGGACACCAGCAAACACAACAAATCCTAAGTTATCAAGGTACTTCACCAATTCATGTCCGATGCCGGAATCGCTTCCTGATAGCACCACAATCAGAAAAAAATTAGGCAAAATTAAATGTGAAAACATCTTCCTAAACAGAACTGTGAAAATGTTTGTTGTTGTTGTTCTTTGAGCGGTTTTTTGGTTCACTGACTGTTATGGGAAAATAATTGTTGAGAGTCAATCTGATTTTTTCTTTTACTTTTCATTCAACCAGTAAGTTAACAAACATCTGTCTTGGTCAAAAGAAACATTTTGTTCAATCAAAAAAAGAGACATTTGGTTTTGTTTCAGGTTTTTTTAAATCCTTCAAAATAAAATTAGCATACAATTTGAAGTAAATTTCAAAATGAAATATTATATATTGGGCTTTTATTATTGTTGTTTGTTTTGGGAAAAAAACAATGACTTTGGCACAAATTACTTTTGGGTTAACTTAAATCTGTGCGGTTTTTTGGGGGAAAAAAGACAAGAAACTTTCCCCCAGCTCTTCCTCATCTATTAAGAATGATTCCTAGGAAAACCATGAACACATCCAAGAGCTGGCCGGGTATCAGATCTTTATAAAGCAGACTCTTTGTGGACCACTAGAAGGATACATCTACACAGCAGGGTTAAACTCAAAATAAGCTACGCAACTTGAGCTATGCTAATTGCAGAGCATAAGTTGAAATAGCTTATTTCAAATTCTGGCACGTTTACACAGCACTTATTTCAAGATAGAACACTCTTCCCCCAATTTCCCTTAATCCCCGTACAATGAGGGTTACAGGAGTCGAAGTAAGCAGTCTTCCAGCTTGACAATATTTCAACATTTTGACTAAATAACTGCTTGTGTGTAGACGCAAACCAATAACTGCTTGTGTGTAGATAAGGACATCCATTATTCCAAAATAATGCTGCTGTATAGACGTACCCAAACTTCTAAACAGTTACCAAATTTGGAATGCAACTTCCTCTGCTCCTTACTTACAGCAAGGTCAGAGTTTTGGTGTGCCAGTTCATCAGTAAGTAGCCCCACTTCCCCAAATACCTTGCCCTCCATCCTGGCCGTTGGCCACAGTGATGGGGGAGGATCCAGAGGAGGGAGACAACAGGACCCTGGCAGGAGCGGCCCTAGATGAGCTACCGGCAACTTGTGCCCTAGGCAAAATGCGCGATCGGCGCCCCCACCTCCAAAGCCCTCAACGGCCATTTATCTTGGCACCCTAGGTGACCACCTAGTTCACCTGTATTGATGGGCCACCACTGGACCCTGGAGGGCTGGGGAAGTTTGGGGGGTGTGACGGGGGGACTCACCCCCGCACTCTCGTCCCCCAGACCCAAGGCCCCGCACCCCGTGCGGCCGATCAGCTGGCGCCGGGAGTCCGGCGCGGCACGGCGGCACAGGCAGAGGAGCCAGGGAAACCCGGCACGCATGCACAGGGTGGCCCGGGTGATAGCCGGCGGGCACTAGGACCCGGGGCAGCAGGGCGGCCAACGGAGGGGCGGGCCGGACGCCAAGCGGGAAATTCAAAAGGGTGGTGGGAGGAACAGGTGGGGGGGGGGGGAGGGGGGGGGTCTCCCTC